TGCATCACTGGCTCCCCAATTGTGGTTCGAGTCCTGGACGCGGTGGCTTGAAACCCATATCAGGTGCATGTGCATGTGTGGCCAAGATCCCAGGAAGGGATTGTGGTATGACCATTCCCCTGGGGGGTGATTTCTCACTTTTCCTCTCACTCTCTTGTCGTCCCCCCCCTCTCTGGCTCCCCCCCCCCCCCCGTGAATGAATAAACAAGCTGCTTTATAAATATATGCATATTTCATCTCACAAAGCTAGAAGACAGACTCTTGAGGCATAACTTGAAACTTCGTAAATGTCAAGACCAAACTGTTGTATAACCCTTCATTTTGTATGTGGTTTTCAATGGGTATAAAAATACTCAGTGGGTGTGTGGGTGGTTTCTCGTGTTTTGGAAACGGTGAGAATATGAGATGCTGAGCTTTGGATTCTGGGATGAGAGCTATAATTACTAACTCCACTTCTTTCCTGGGATTGGCTCATGGGGGGGATATCTGGTATCAGAAACCCAACAATCCAGAAGCCAGAGCAATAAACCATGCCCCCGCCCCCGGAAATGAAAAGAATGACTGTTGCTGGAGAAGAGGGGAACAGTGCCATGTGGGTCTGGCTTGCCCAGTCTCCTTCCTTCAGGCTGTTCACTGACTGCTGGAGTCGGTGACACGGCAGAAGTGACGCCTGGTGTGGTGACTTCTCCCAGCCTGGTGCACGACAGCCACCGCACAGCTGTGACAGAAAGAGCTCTAAATATAACCCAGGACTCATTTCAAGTCCTCCTCCCCCGAGTCTTGCGGATGTGGTAAACACCCTAAAAATACCTGCTGCTTTGAACCTCGAGGTACCTAAAGAGAGGGGCAGGGACTAGCATTGGGGTGGGAAGAGTCCTGGTTGCTGAGAGGCCAGGCCAAACTCCCAGAAGGGCTGCTGCCAGAGCTGTTCGGCGAGCTGTCCGCCATGCCATCCTGCTCAAGGATAAGTGCCCGCTCTTGAGTCTCAGATTCACTGTTGGCAGGTCTCAAGGAAACTATTCATAGACCGTCGACATCTGCTCTCTGTCCCGTTGACCTCCAGCGTGCAGCTGCCGCCGTGGTATTTGGCTGTGTGTCGGTTGGCAGTCTTACTGCCCAGAATCAGAGCTGGAGAGCTGGTCTGGGTGCGAGATCATCTGTCGTTCACCAAGCTATTAAGATGACTGCATTTCTGGAGTCGGCCACATTGCTTGTCCATGTAGCGGCCACACGGTTTTGAAAATGGACTCTCAGTCTTTGATTATGAAGATAAATTACTCTCATAAATATGTAATATAAAAATAGGAGTGGCCCAGCCATGGTGTGGGGGGTGGGGCAATGCGGTGCAATACTGGGGCATGTGGAAAGGCCTGGGGTTCCGTTCCCAGGTCCACCTGAACATGCCAGTGCCCATGAACGTGGCTGGCTGTGTGCATGCATGTGGGGGGACGGGGGCTAGAGGTAGAGAAGACAGCATGACGAGATTCCTATCAGATGTCCCCTCCCCTCTGTCTCTCCCGAAATAAACACTAAGGCTTAAATGGGGCCAGCAAGTGGCATAGTGGTTATGATGCTGGATTCTTTGTTTCTTTCAGATCTTTCCTTTCTGACTCAGCGGGCGCGTGTGCATGCGAGCCCTAAATCTTGAGAGGAGAATGGAGGAGAAGTGATTGCAGCAAGGCCATCCCCCCTGAGGGGGGGTGACTTCTCATTTTGTTCCTGTCTTTCCAATGAGCACATACTCCCTACAGAAAAAAAAAAAAATCTATTTAAAATATATGCGAACACACACACACACACACACACACACACACACACACACACACACAGGCTAGCAGGGAATATGGTGGTTAAGGGATGACTCCACTTGGTTGACTGTGCAGTTTGACTCTTGGACCTGGAGGCCTGAAAAAAACACCAGGTGCATGTGTGTGCGTGCCTGAAATCTCAGGAGGAGATTGGAGTGTGGCACAGCCATTCCCCCTGCCCACCAGGGGTGATTTCTCACTCTCCCTCTCTCCGGCAAGCACACGCTCGCTATGGCAGAAAATCTTAAAACACACACACACGTATAAATATACTTCAGTATATGTATGTATGTATATATAGACTCATTACAAAACTGCATTATAAAATTATACATATTTTATCCTACAAAGTTAGAAGATAGACTCTAAAGACGCAACTTTTTAAATTTCCAAGATGTCAAGACATTGTGTATAGAGAGAGACTCTGTCTCAGTGGTGCAAGTGCAAGGATGCTGGTGCAGAAGGCTGGGGCCACACGACAGATCCGAGTTTGGTTCCTGGGTCAGCCTGAAACAAGCCGGGTGCAATGGAGCAGTGCCTGCGACCTTGTTAGCTGGGAGGTGAGGCTGGAGCAGTAATGCTCCAGGGTAGCAAGACTCTGTCAAAATATATCCCCTCCCCCACTGGCACATACAGTCTCTCTCAGACAAAACAATAAAAAGGGGCGGATGTCTTTAAAATATCAACTAAGTGATCCTTTGCAAAGCTTTCTTTTATATTAAAAAAATTGAACTTCGAGGCTTATTTTCTCGCCAAACTTCAGCGTTTTGAATATAAAATCCATCGGCCACACAGCTAGAATTCCAGGAGTTTTATCTTCGAGAAGAAGGCTTTTCTTTTCTTTTCTTTCTTTTTTTTTTTTTTTTTCCTTTTTGAGAGGTTTTTGGTATAGGGCGCGTGCACTCGCCAGACAGACAGAGGGAGACAGAAAGTGAGAAATCACCCTCCAGGGGAATGGCCACACCGCAATCCCTTCTCCATTCTCTTCTCAGGATCTTGGGCATGCACGCACATGCGCCTGGCGTGAGTTTTAAGCCACCGGGTCCGGGATGTGAACCACGGTCGCCTGCATGGGAGTCCAGCGACATAATCATTACGCTAACTGCTGGTCCCAGAGAAGAAGGCTTTTGATGTCTGGTTTCTGAGTCATAAGCCATACATAGCCCTGGTACCACAATGGAAGGACCATAGCTGATCTGTTTGCTAAGAAAGGTTTCTCAGGGTAGCCCCACCCTGCTGGGGCACACGCAGAGCTGTGGAGGCCATCAGCACCATCCCTGTATAGCATAGCTACGCCAGGCTTTAGCTTTAGCAAGTGATGGCTCCCTCTGATCAGGAAGGTCTGGTGACGCAGAGCCTGTACCAGAAGCTATGCAGGGAGGGCAGGGAGGCCTGAAAGAGCCTGCAGCACTGATGGAGGCCATGGAACCAATAGGAGTGCTGAGAAGTTTGAACTACATTGCACTATGGTGGTTCTGACATTGCATAATTGTAGCAAGTGTAAATCCTCTGCCGTGGGCTTCTCAGAGTGCCTTGACATAGCAGGAAGTGTGTTCTGTATTCATTTACTTTTTTTTACTGTGGGTTAAAAGTAAATTAAAAGCTTTTCTTAAGTGATGGAAATTATAAAAATAGTTAGTGCTAGCTAGCTAGTTTTCTTTCTTTTTCTATTTTTTGACAGGATTTTGCTATAGGATGTGTGTGCTCTCTAGAAAGACAGGGGGGATGGCCATGCAGCAGTCCCTTCTCCTCCATTCTCCTCGTGGGACACACATGCACCTGGCATCAGTTTAAGCCACCGGGTCCGGGACTTGAACCGTGGTTGACTACATGGGAGTCCAGCAACATAGCCATTATGCCAACTGCTAGTCCTCTTTCTTTATTTCTTAAAAATAAATTCAGAAGAGCCAGCAAGTGGTATGGTGATTAAGGCACTGGATCTCACTGGGCCGACTCTCTGATACGAGTCCTGGACCTGGCAGCTTGGGAACATACCAGCCACATGTGCGTGTGAAGCTAAAAATCCTGAGAGGAGACTGAGGAGAAGGGATTGTGGTGGGCCTCACCCCCCGGGGGGGTCATTTTTCACTTTCCCTCTCTGTGTCTGTCTCCAGCAAGCACAAATGCCCTGTGACAAAAATCTAAAATAAAGAAATTAAATCAGATTTTTAAAAAATATTTTTTCAAGAATTATTTATTTAATTTCATTTATTCATTCATTTTTTTTAAAAAAATTTGACCAGAGAGAGAGACAGACAGTCGAGAAAGAAAGTGAGAAAGCAAGCCACCAGGTCCAGGACTCAAACTATGGTTGGCCATGTGGGAGTGTCCAGCACATTAACCACCATTCCACCTGCTGGCCCCTAAATCAGATAGATTTTTTTAAGAAGTTATTTTCTTCTGAGAGAGAAGAGTGGCAGCACCTCCAACAAGGTCTCGTCTGTGGCTCCCCCCCAGCCTCAGCCAGCACCAGAGCATGGGCATGCATGTCAGGTGTACTCAGAGAGATCTCTGGACGCAAACCTGGTACCTTACCATGGGGATCTGCCTCGAAGCGCATCATGCTGTACTGCTACATCACCATCTGTTCCCTAGTTGGAGTTTTTGTTTGTTCGGTTTTTTTTGTTTGTTTGTTTGTTTTTTTTTGAGAGATTTTTGCTATAGGGTGTGTGCACTTGCTGTAGAGACAGAGAGAAAGGGAGAAATAACCTTCTGGGGGGATGGACACACTGTAACTCTTCCTCTTTCATTCTGCTCTCAGGATTTTGGGCATGCACGTACATGTGCCTGGCGTGAGTTTAAGCCGCTAGGGCCAGGACTCAAACCACAGTCAACTACATGGGAGTCTCAGGACGTAACCATTAGGCCACCTGCTTGCCCTTGTTAGAGTTTTTTTATGTCTGGAAAAAACACCTCCGGAATCTCAAATTTTCTTCAACTAGCACACTTAAAACAAGAAATGAGACACCCCGGGAGGCAGTGTGCTTTCCGAGACTTCTGTGGAAAGGGCGCAGTGGCATGGCATCGTTGGTGCCCTCAGTCGTGTGGAAGCCAAGGAAGGCATGGGTGCCTGTGGGTGTCCGGGGCATCTCCTTTTTCCATGCGTATTAAAGGCAGGAGTATTGTCTGGAACGTGTGATACCAGCAAGTACAGTTCATGGGTTTTTAAATATGTCTCCTCTGAAATTCTAGAATGAAGAGCTACGGAACTTGTCCCTTTCTGGCCATGTTGGATTTGACAGTCTCCCTGACCAGCTGGTCAACAAGTCCACTTCTCAAGGATTCTGTTTCAACATCCTGTGTGTCGGTAAGTGTTTCATCATCTCCGGCGAGAAAGAGGTCCAACCTCGTAGGTGTATTAGGCGGTGGCTGTCAGGGGCCATGCATCAATAAAATAAGGAAAATGCAATTTTCACTCTCTCTCTCTCTCTTCTTGTAACCAGTGAAATAAGGTATTAATACCTGCTCCGACTGTGCCACACAGTTATAGATTCAGAGTTATATCTGGGTAAATGTAAATCATAAGTTTTGTGGTGTTACTCAAATGATCTTTTATTTTTTTTTTTAATTGCTATAGGGCACATGCATTCGCCAGACAGACAGAGAGACAGAAATCACCTCCGAGAGGGGATGGCCATGCCGCAATCCCTTCTCCTCCATTCTTCTCTCAGGATCTTGGGCACGCATGCACACTCTCCCGGCGTGAGTTTTAAGCCACCAGGTCTGGGACGTGAACCGTGGTCAGCTACATGGGAGTCCAGCAACATAGCCATTACGCTAACTGCTGGTCCCCTCAAATGATCATTTTTATTTCTGTCACCCAGTCAACCAACTGGTCAGGTTAATATTGTTATTAAAGTATTTATTGTAATTTTGGGCCATGAGAGTGTCTTAGACACTAACTCCTTAAAGAAGAACTGAAGTGTACATAGTAAGAACATCCAAAAGTCTTTTTTTTTTTTTTGATTAGTTTGTAATAGAGCATGTATGCTTGCCAGAGAGAGAGAGAGAAGAAAAGTGAGAAATCACCCCTAAAGGGGATGGCCACACCACAATCCCTCCTCTTCCATTTTCCTCTCAGGGTTTTGGGGGCACTCACTCAAACCTGATGTGATTTTTTTCAAGTCACCAGTCTCGATACTCAACCACAGTCGGCTATGTGGGATCGGCTCCCTTAACCTCCACACCACCTGCTGGCCCACATTCAAAAGCCTTTTAAGGACCAGCGGATGGCATAATGTTTACGTCACTGAACTCTCATGTAGTTGACCATGGTTTGAGTCCCAGGCCCAGCAGCCCAAAACTCATACTGGGTGCATGTGTGTGCCCAAAATTCTGAGAGGAGAATGGAGGGGAAGGGATTGCAGCATGGCCACCCCCCCTGCAGGGTGGTTTCTTGCTTTTTCTCTCTACTTTATATTTGAAATAAATTTTGTCTAAATTATTGAATATACCTTCTCTCCTTAAGTTGGGATCCAAAATAGATCTTCGTTTATTTCCGGTAGGCAAAAAGAAGAGTCGATCTGATGGACTTGAATCTCATTGTGTTTCATTTATTTTCCTTAAGTGCCATACTTTGGTCTAGGACTTTGCCTTGATAATTTTCTTCTCTCAAACCACTTGTGTTTTCTATTTGTCTTTTCTTTTTCTTTCTTTTCCTTTTTCTCTCTTCCTTTTTTCCATTTTTTTTCTTTTTTTTTAATTTCCTTTCTCTCTTTTTTTGTGTCATGGTAAAAAGAGGCAGGGCCAGGCCATGGTACATGGTAATACAACAGAACCCACATGGGGTCCTGGGTTTGTGTCCTGGGAGCTCCCTGAGCACAGACACCTCCGACTAGGGGTGGGTTACAGGGTAATCCCTGTTAGAAATGCCTATCTCTCTGTCTCTGCCTTTCTAGCTCTCTTTTTCATGGAAGAAATAAATAAATAAACTTTATAAAAAGAAAGGACGAGAGGAAGGGAGGGAAGGAGGTAGATAGATGGGCATTTCTGACAGGGTCTCGCCCGTGCAGTGGTCCTCTTGTCTCAGGCTTCCAATTAGCTAAAATGACAAGTATCTGCAACTGCACCTGGTGGGTTCAGGTTGGCCTGGGAGCTGAACCTGGGTGTCCTGTGTGGCTTCCAGCCTCCCAAGTGGTGGTGCTGTCTGTGTGCCACAGTGGCTAGGCCAGCCAACGTTTTTTTTTTTTTTTTGGTTTT